AAAAAAGAAGAAGGGAAGAACGACAGTTTAGGAAAGAAATAGTAGATAGAAAAAAAAAAAAAGGAAGGAGAGAGATGCACACAAGGCAAGACGGCCAAGGCACGTCAAGGCAAACGTCCTTCGAGTAAAATGAAGCAAGTCGCTTGCCTGCTGCAGTTCCAGCCAGGCCGACTTGCAGCGAGACGCGGCACCAACGGGGGGAACGAGAGAGATGGAGCCCTTTAGGAAGAGACGTTTGCAGGCCAGGGAAGGCTTGAATGCTTTTTGCTGTGCTGATTCGCTGCTCTCTCTCTTTTCTTTGCACTTCGTCTTGGTTGGGCATTCATGCCTGCAGCCTCAGCACGACAGCTTTTGAATAATTCCACTGACTTAACCGGATCGTAGTTTGGTCAGCAGAGGAATATCTGCAGTTGGACGGGATTTGTCTGCATCCTTGAGTCATTTCTGTTTTCCTCTTTTGCCCTTTTGGGGTGGAAATTTGAGTTGTTCCTTTTGGTCAATGTGATGTTTTGACTGGTCAGGTAAAAATTTCACGAACTCATTCGTTTTGCTAATTGCATTGCGTCGTGACATCTGGATGGTTTTTGTTTTTATGGCGGATCAAACAAAAATTCCCCGATGGATTGGACGCCAGGCAAAGATAAGTAGCCAATGTAAAGGCGAGGAGCCGATAGCTTCGATTGAATAATAAATAGATGGTACAGCGCTTGCATGGATGAGCAATGTTCTTTTTTTACCCAATTGACATCCAAGTATTTAAATATTCTAGGGGGGACATCCTGGTAAACGATGCACATCATTGCCCGTGAACCAGAGACAAATTGCCAAAAAAATAAAAAATATAAGGAAAGAAAAGAAATGCAAAAATCCGAAGGGGAAAGAGGAAGAGGAAAAAAGGACCACAGATAGATCGAAGTCGAAGCGAGAAATGGAACCATGGGTTTCGATGTTCTGATCCAACCAACCCGAGAAAGTACCATGGCTCCATCCAGGATAATAAGACAATTTTGAGAAGGAGGCGAAGGAAGAAAATGTACAGCAAGGCGAAAGTCGTGATACATCAGTTTTCGAATTATCGTTAGTAAATCTTCGTCAATATGTTGCCCCTTGACTGATCGACTTTAGCATCTCTCTGAGGGAGCCTGCGTTGTTCGATCCGGTTGAGCTCCGTCGGTGAAAAACCTTGTCGATGAACTTCGTCGAAGTGACGGACTCCACGCTTCTCATGAATGAAGAAGCCATGGGTGATGCATGATGGGAAGTTCGCCTCGAGTGCCATCTTCGTTCAATGCAGTCATCTACAAACGCCACGAGACCAGTCGCGACGATTACGCTAGAAGAGAAGATTAAGCGAGAAGCCGTCAGCTAGCAGCTCTGAGGAAGAATGGAGGGTTCTCTGAAGTATACCAGGCTTTACGGTTGGGTGGTTGTACTCACTCAGCAACATCTTTCATCTTTTCGTAAAGGGTTGGGTCGTTAATCCACATCGATGACGACGGAACCCATGCGCCTTTCCTCGCCTCGATGGAGAGCCCTCTAGGTGTCAGCGGCTCAGGAATGATATGTGCGACAGGGTTGGATGTTGCCTGGTGGTAGAGGTGATATGAGACCTCTTTGGATGGACCATCATTGCGAGTCACCTTTTTCCATTGGTATTTTGCATCCCAGTACTCGAACTCATACCGTCGGGAACCGACAGACCCGCGTCTCTTGAGCTCTACATGTGCATAATTGGAAAACTCCAACTGGATGACATTGGCAGAAGGGGGCCGGTTAGGAGTATATGCCGACCCCGCATACTTCCCACTGCCAATGGGCTCGTCGTCATCCAATCCAGACTTATATCCTGAGTCTGGTCTTCTCAGACCCTTTGAAGGTCTCGTGCCCGCACCTGCATGAGAAAGGAACCCTGAAATTGGATTGCTCATGTGTTTGTGGCCAGACGACCCCGGTCTCGATTTGGGCACCTGTGGTTTTCTCAGGGAATGACAGACTTCCCTTCTTGAATCCCGACAGTATCGACGGAGTGAGAATTTCTTATCATGGAGATCGTACATGCGCAGGTGGAACAGTATCGTTTCATCCTGGCGCCCCGGAGACTCCGCTGCCAGGGTGGTGACCCGCAGGTTCATATTTCCATCCAGGGTGGTATCGTCATGTCTGACCATGAGCCTTCTGGATGAAGGGAACAGGTAGCCGAAACTTGGAGGAGTGGAAGGGACTGCATTCGAGGGGATCACCTCACGCCTTTCCTCGACAACTTCAACTCGAGGTTCGGTCGTGGTTTCATGCACAGAAGCATCGCTCGAGACATATGTGTTAACCGATTCTGCGCTGGTGGAGTTGTTATTTGGAGGCTTAGCGCTGAGATGTTCCCCTGCCGTGCCACTCGGAGCCATTGCTGCTATCATACAATAGTTTGTGTGTGTGGATGTATACGCGAGATATGACTGAGAACTAGGAGAGCGCCACGCCTGTCCTTGAAACGCCTCACCTCGAAAGCATCATCAACAGTAAGTATCTAAACGAAGCTTGTCTTGGACCATGGAACTGTAGAGGTGGCCAAAATATCGTCTGTGAGCTGTTGTAACGACGTCCACAGGGATAGAACAGCCAGAGCTATCAACTAGGCTGGTAACAGATAAAATCCTTAAGAGCGAGCTCGAAGACAGAGAACTGAGGACTTTGCAGCCATGTCCTTCTACCGTGACGTCCTTCTTTAGTGAATAATAGGATGTGAATGAGGTAGCAGAGGTGAGGCAAACTCGGGCAGCCTTATGTAGGCATTGGGCCAACGAAGCGCAGCAGCGGTAAGCAATACGGTTGGCGACTAGGACACAGGCATTCCCATACCCAGTAGAATGCCTATGCCAGCCCTCCCCTTGGTCTCAGGGCGATGGTGGCTAGTAGAATCAGCCCTCGAGGACGCCCGACGTCGTTTGAGTCTTTCGTGGACGTTGGAAGTTCGGCGGGTGTTTTGATTGTTTAAGGCCGTCCATCACATGACCGCAGGCGAGCCCTGGCCTGGGGTTACATAGCCCCTTTTCTCCTTTCCCCCTATCCTTGTTTATATGAGGAGGTACAGAGCATGGCAGCGCTTTGTAGGGAGCTTCAGATGACGGTATCTGGCTGCTGGAGGGCTGTGACAAGCTCAGGACGTCCTTGGCTGGGCTTATTCCACCCTGGGCACGACGCAGGCTTAACTAGTTCGTGGCTTGACACATAGGTTAGCATGACGAGCTGGCAGTTTAGCAACCCTATCAAAGTTATATGGTAGTTACGGGTTACCGGAAAAGCTTCGTTGCTAAGATGATGAAGATATACATAGAGAGTAATAATAACTGGGATAATTATTAGTTAACTATGGGTCCATCCGTAGAATTTGGCTTGGGGTATCAACATGTCGGGTCTCCCAGTCCGAGTGGATACCAACCCCAGACTTTGTATAGATAGAAGCTGATTATAACGCCAGCCGTTGGCGTCATTGATATATATAGATAGATATATCGTATTTCCAGCGTATTATATAGTATCAACAAGTATGTAATGCGGCTTATGATCGCAGCAAGGCCCAGAAACCGATAGCAAAATGAATATGGAATACATAAGAAGGAAAATGTATAAGACGATCTACCAACTGGATCCTGAGAACCAGCGAAAAAAGAAAATAAAACCACAACCCTCCGGCATTATTATTGAAGCATTATCGCCGAATAATGGACGCGATTGTCTGGTTTGTTATACCACGATGCCGACAATAATGCCGACAGTAAAGATGACGGCGAAAGCGGTGCTGAAACGAGCGACAGGGGCAGAGTTGCCAGTTGGTTTGGGAGCGCCAGACCCGGTTGGGGAGGTTGGAGAGGACGACTCGCTGGGGGAACCAGTCTCGCTGGGGAGGCTGGTCTGGGTGGCAGTCTCGTTCACGTTTTTGCTGTTGCACCAAGCCTCGTGGTAAGGGATCTTTTTATCGAAGAGGCAGGATGTGAGGTCCTTAGCGCTCTGCTTATAGGACAGGCAGTACAAAGCGCAGCCGTTATCGTAGGCAACTACGGGAGCGCCATTGCAGCACATTTTCATGAGGTCGCGGTTGTTGTTTTGGTTTGGGACACCGCAGGCGACGTCACTGACTGGGAGGTCATACTGCGTAGGGGTGCCGCAGAGAGCAGTGTTGGACGGCATTGGGCCAGAGGAGGTGGTAGAAGCCATGGCTGGTATATTAACGCGATAAAAAGCGAGAAAATAGATAGAAATGCTCCGTACAAAGCGAGTGACTGCGCGAGATGAACGATTGTTGCTGATGTTTGCTGGAAAAGCTTTTCGATGGCTTTTAATAACACAAACTCCTGAAGTTGTCTCAGCCTCTCGGGGGGCGCTTCACTAGTTAGCTTATGTAAGTTTACGTCGTCTCATTGATCAGCATTGACCAAATTTGAATGCTCACCAGGGAGTATCTTAGGCAAATTGATAGTCGATGCCCTGCACTGGGGTCGACATAACATGGTCAATTCACTCTCCGAAAGTATTCCTCTATATATATCATTTCTCGAAAAGTCAAAGAAGTGGATGTCAGGCGGCGCTTCGCCAAGTTTCTACCTACTATCTATGCTCATGTATCCTGAGGAGGCTCCCCGACCACGCCTGGAAAATAATCATCCCATTGCGGGTCATGCAAATCTGGAGGTGCATGGTTAACCTTTAGTGTCTTTTTCCACTGTTCCTTTTTGTATTCTTGGTAACTGTTTGTTCGGATATTGATGCTCCACGTTTCGCATTTGGTCGTAAAATGGCCTCCCCCCTTATGATTCTCTCCTGACGTGTGACACCTGTCCACTATCTGTCGGAAATTCTGCCCACACTGGTCGTCGACATCGCCACGGCCACTAACAACAAAATCCCCCGGACAGTCTTTGTGATCTTTTTCTCTGCCTATCCGGAACGTGACGTAGGATTTGCACTTTCCCTTGCTGCAGTCTCCGCGGACAATAACTGCGGGAGACGTTCTGTCTTTCCATACCCCGACTTCATCACCAGCAAATTTGTACCGGTCATACTTGCGGCAGAAGAAATTAATGCCAAGAATCAGTTCTTTGCGATCAGCCACACCGTTTCCGTCATTATCGCAAAGAAGATCACCCTTGTCTTGGACGTGTGCGGTAGTGAAGGTTGGAGGAAGGGTCACCGTCACGGTCCGTGATGGTTCCTCCTTGGTGGTAGAAGTAGGTCCAAACCGAGATTTATCCCGCTTTACTTGTGCTGCATGAATGCTATTCGCAATGGATTGGTACTTTTCGTCGGACAGGAGCGTATGAACTGGGTAGTGTTCGCTAATAGTGAGAATTTTCCCCTTATCAATTGTGGTAGATTTGGTGACCGTGGTTTCTTCCACTGAGCAGGCCGTCACGGTCGAACATTTAGTCTTGGTAGTGCTGGAGAATACCGATTCGCTCCGTTTAAACTTATAGATAGATTCCGTGCATCTCGGAGCGGTATCTGGTCTTTCGCAGTCATCAGTGTCCTGTTTGCATCCAGATCCAGTACAGAATCCGTTTTTGCATCCCTTGCCCTGGCATTTAAAGGCCCTGCAGCGGGGACCCTTACAGACAGGTGGACATCCAAGGCAAGGTGGTAAGCAGTCGGCGCCGGTACAGCCAAAGTTCATGCAGTGAGAGCCAATACATTCACCATCGTCATTGCATTCGCCGATGCACCCGGGTGATTTGCATCTCGGTCCCTTGCATCCTGGTAGACAGTTCTCCCCTACACAAGGTAGCCTGGCACAGTTCGGGCCGAGACAAATTCCATCATGACAGTCAGGACCAACACAATCGAAGTTGCTGCAAAGGTTCCCCGGTTTACAATTCCCATCTTCGCACTGCGGACCAATACATTTCCGACGATCCAGGTCCTTCGGAGGGTCAGGATCATTCGGGTCAATAAAGTCTTTCCCATGGTTAGTGCAGTCTTTGTCTTTGCAGTCACAAAATGCCCCCTGGCATTTCCTTCCACAGTCCTTTGTACATGTAGGGCTAGGAGGCCCACTGGTAAACGACACTGTTGGAAGTTTCCCATTGTCACGAACTGAACTAAGTGGGTATGGTTTTGGTGTAAACATTCGAGATCCTGGAGGAGGGGTTGGAAAATTGCCGCCTTTACGGGAAACTTTGCCGCCTGGGAAAGGGATAATAACAATATCCGTACTGAAATCGGATTGTTGGTTTGACGTTGGATGTGAATTGTGGTCATTTGTGGGATTATTTGTAGCTTTATCAGATATCCGAGGCGGTGCTCCGGTGGTTGGTCGCTCGGAAGCATGGCCTGTATTTGACGGAGTGCTTTGCCTGTCACCCGGAGAGGAGGTTGGGTTATTATGTGGATTTGGGTTAGGTTGGGTGGTATGTCTGCCAAAAGTGTTTTTGGCGACCTCACTGGATTCTCGAGAGAGCAGATCTTCGGTAGTAGAGGTGTCGGGCCTTCTGCCTGGTGTAGGTCGGCTATCGCCTTGTGTAGGTTGTCCATTATTAGAAAGCTGGACACCGCCCCTGCTAGCTTGACCATTGTTATTAATAGACTGCCCATTATCTTGAGTTGGTTGACCGCCCCTTTGAGTGGGTTGATCACTCTCGTGAGTAAGTTGACCACCCTCTTGGGTTAGTTGACTGCCCCCTCGAGAAGGTTGAGCAGCCCCTTGAGTAAGTTGACCGCCTGTTTGAGTAGGCTGGTTACCACCATGAATAGGTTGGCCACTGTGAGGTACCTCGGGTTGTCCAGCTTGATGGCCGCTTCCTGTATTTTGCGGAGGAGCTACAGCTCCTGCGGGCACACTGTTAGTTATCAAAACGGGGGTGGTAAAATGCTGCTGATTACTGCGTGTGTTGTTGAAGATATATCTGTTTGAGTAACCGGCCAATGCCACATATCAAGGACAGATGTTGTGAGTGGCGGAATACTGATAATCGTTGGCTGGATCGTCCTTACGGACCCAATGGAGCTGGAGATCGCACCACCAGGGAGAGTTATAGCTTGAGCCGTCCACCATAACACTTCCAGGGAAGTTGTGTAAGGGGGGAATGTAATGGTAGTGACCTCATCAAGTGTAAGCCGGGGCATGATGAAGGTACATGGAGGTATACACGCAATTCCAGGCTTGTCGACCTTGTATATCTCGGGGGAGATATAAACGTCACCAGAGCCGCTATCACCCCCTTCTAGGTCAGCGCCATCAAGGCTTAATGTGTTCCCATTAAGCTCATCTGGTCGGCTCATGGTGCCCGGGCCTCCAAGATCTAAAGCCCAAGCAAATGTGCCTCCTAGGCACAAGTTATTTGCAAAGGAAGCTTTTTGCTTCAGTGTTCTTGCATCATCGAAGGAAACCCTATTTCAAGTCTCTTTCAGCAATATTCCACATCCCGATAAGGGAGTTTAAAGGCAGTCTTACCATTGATCACTATCCCAGGTGATCCAATTGACTCCCGCCTCATCGTTGTAAACCAGTTCGGGTGATTTCGATTTGAGAATTCTGTTAATTTCATAATTAGAGAGTGTCCCACTGTTCAGAGTACAACGACCTGGGCGAGCTCCGCCGGAATTTTCATCTCCCGTCCTTTTGAATGAACAGCCGGGACTATTACATCTGGGATCGCCTAGAGTGAAGGAGCGTCCGTAAAAGCCGAGTCCCAATAACACCTTTCCCGGAGGAACAGAATTACGCCATAGTAAGTCTAGACCGGCGGATATTTCTGCAGTCAATGAGTTAATACGAGCATTAGAAAAAGTTTGACTATAGTGCCTCATAGTCTTACCAGTCAAGTTTGTATGTGGGTTAATAACTTCTTTTGTCCATTCGCTATGGCCATCCCAGGTACCGTGGATGTCATAGCTCATGACATTGAACCAATCAACATACTTGACCATATTCTTGAGATCAAACCCTCTGAGATACCCTATTAAGAGATTGGTCAGTTTGACGAACTATCTATCCCATAACACCCAGAAGATTTAGGGGCAATCTCTACTAACAGTAGGAAGCTGGGATTGCCATGCTGAGGCCATACTTTGTCCCAAAAGCATCTTTCAGCTCTCTTAAAAGCAAGACATAGTTCTTGTAATCCGCCTTAGAGCCGCCTGTACAGAAAGATGTAAGCTACCTTCAAAGCCACAGTAAGGAGAGCGATGAGGATAGAGAAATTACCGCGATCGTCTGCCACAGGATATTCCCAGTCAATATCAAGCCCATCAAATCCGTACATTTCCAATGTTTTAATGACTGAGTCAATAAAAACTTTTCGAGAAGCAGCAGAGCTTGCCATGACGGAAAACACTTTGCCACCGGCGTCCCATCCTCCAACGGAAAGAAAACATTTCAAGGATGGCTTCTTGGTTTTCAAATTGGTAAACGCACGGTAAAACTCATCGGCGTAATAGCCCGTTGTACCAAGGGTATGATCCGAATTGATGGTAGCGAATGCATAGTTCAGATGCTATTTTTATATTAGCTATGATTTTGGAAGGAGGGAAAAGGAAATATGGAGAGCTATACCGTCCAGGGTTTGTAGTTTATATGCGAAGGATGGAGAGTATCACATGGATGCTCATTATTCCAACCTTCAAAGTACCCCACGTAGCGTTTCGTGGCAGAGGCGCCGCCCGCACACGATCTGAGTCCAGGCCCTATCAGGAACGAAGTTCGGTGTTATTTAATAATAGGTAAGGCTTACGGTGTTTTGACCTTGTCGCATCCATTGGCACATCCTTTGCCACAGAACTCTTCGGAGGTACCACAGAACCTGCACCAGTACATATTAGTTTTGTAAGATAACGAAACAGTGAGCGGATGTGTTACTGGAATAAAATCGCACCCCCATTTAGAGCAGCATACATTCAATGGACACTTTTCTTGCCCCTTGGGCGCATACTCTAGTAAACCGTTAGCCTGTGTAGAGAAGAGAGTGTAGATAAAAACCACTAGTTGCTTATGTTCTAAGTGAAAGGCTGACAAAATGATAGAAAACAAGGGGAGCATTGAGCACTCAAGAGATCTTAAATCTTTGATGTTAGTATATGCTGTTGACATAGTACTTACTTCCACATTCTGCCTTTGCATCACAGCCAGATATACATACTTTGGGTCCGCAGAAATCAGGCCCAAATCCACAGCTGCCAAACTTGCTACAGCAGCCGACTTTGCATTTCTTCGAGGCTGAACAAGTGCTATCAAATGCAGGAAATGCATATAAAGTTGTCAGGTTTGAGAGGAATAAAAGGCTTGCAAAGAAGTATATTTTCATGATTCCTAGGAGCTGGGATGCCCTACGAGGGAGGATGTTATGGGAATACGGATATGGTTCCTTGTAGGAATGGGACGAATTAAATTTGCATAAAAGTAAACTAGAGAATCCAAAGGGTAGAATTGGAGTTCATATAGCATTCTGTTTGGGAATACTATATACTGTCCAATTCTTTCTTTCTTTCTGTTACTGCGCAAATCGCACAGATGTCGTCGAGACATCAATGTAAGAAGGATAGCATTCGTACAGCGCATATTTCAGTGACGCAATGCAAAAGTACACTCGCCGGATAGTGATCGCATATGGGCTGCATGGCAATGGGGCTGCGAAGAAAGAGTCGGGCATATGGTGAGATTGGGTGTCCACGTCGCAGCGATAGAGCTAGCATTGTAGGTTAAATATTTCAGTCAGTGCTAGAAGAAGGGTATTTGGTATATTTAGAGTATCTCAAGGGCAGTTAACCCATGGACTACAACTATAGTAGTACAAAGAACCCGCCGAGGCAGTCCTGTTGTCCGAAGATGAAAGCCAGTCGCGAATTTCATTTCACTTCCAGACGGGATAGTTTCAAGGTAGAAGTGGCATCTTTAATGCTTGGGCCAAGGCAATGATTGTTCCAGGTAACCTCATTTTAGAACCCTCCAATTCAGCCGGCCCGCGTCCAGGCGGATTGCTTGGTGATGCCGATAATGATGTGGAAACTTGCAACTTTCCAACCTCAAGTCAGGTAGTGGCTGCAGCGGCTGGCGGCTAGAGCCGCGGATCATTATTTCTCCATAAGCGCTTGGCACAACTAACTTCTTCCATTGGACAGTAGCCGCCATGCCAAGCAACCTGTAAATACGCGTCAAATATCAGAGGCTGGAAAATGACAGGCGGCAGTACCTGGGAACGGCTATACTCGAGAAGTAGTAGCCATCAATTTTTACTATTCATCCTCAGATCGCCGAAGTCTGGCCGTAGACTATGGTATGGAGACGGAATGGTGGCCTCGACGCCCTAGTTCGCCGACCAGTACCTACCAGGTGGAATCGGTTCATTACTTCTCCTATATCTTTCCTTGCAAGCCTCATTTACGAATGGAGATCCTCGATTCCTACCCGATCAATAGCCACCATATCAGATAAAGCCATCACTGTCGTGTGCATCTCTGACACCCATATGACTAGACCGCATATACCAGATGGCGATATTCTGTTACACTCCGGGGATCTCACCCAGTCTGGCTCACAAGACGAGCTCCAGCAAGCTCTTGACTGGCTGAATACATTACCACATCAGCACAAGGTTATAGTAGCTGGAAACCATGATTGGTGTCTTGACCCCTCACTCAAAACGAGCAAGACACTTTCGCATTCAGGGGCGCCGCAGAAGTTCATCGATTGGGGAAACATTATTTATCTCCAGAACACTAGCGCTACCCTGGACTGCTGTGGGCGCAATATAAACATCTTTGGGAGCCCTGTCAGTCCCAAACATGGAAACTGGGCTTTTCAGTACCCGCGGAAGGAGAATGTATGGGAGGGCATTATACCTCCAAACACCGATATTCTGCTAACTCACACGCCTCCACACTCGCACCTAGATCTTTCCTTTGGCTGCAAATTCCTCCTTCAGGAATTATGGAGATTAAAACACCGATCAATTCTTCATGTTTTTGGTCATATACATGGGGGCTACGGTCAGCATATGGCATATTTTGACAAGTTCCAATCGATATATGAGAGTATCATCAAAGGAGATGCAAGCATTATCAGCTTGTTGTTTTTAATATATGAAGCTATGAAAGTTTTACTCTGGAGAGCTCCAACTCAAGGCATCTGGATGGTGAATGCTTCTGTGGTAGGGGGCGTTAGAGATGAACTGACGAGAGATGCAACAGTTCTACACATTTAGTTTGATCGGGCTGGATATATTCCAACATGTGCCAAAGAGCGTGTTATACACCTCATACGACGAGGCGTCTAATCAAGACTTGAAAGGGCCCTGCAATTCACTGATTCCTTGAAGGGACACATTAATCTGACTACCCGTGTATAATGCAAAGTGTCACCTTACCAGTTCTACTGTCGACTACTACCCTGCATATTCCTTTGTTTTTT